ATCCCAAGGAGGGGAGAAGACGATCCCAACACACGATCCCCACAGCAACGGAGACGATCCCAGAGGAGACGATCCCAGAAGAGACGATCCCAGGGGAGACGATCCCAGAGGAGACGATCCCAGAGGAGACGATCCCAGAGGAGACGATCCCAGAGGAGACGATCCCCGTGCTTACCTCCATAGGAGACGAATAGCATTACTTATTCCTTCTTGTCTTGTATATAATTTACTTAATGAATAAAAAAGAGAAAAAAGATAAAAAGGAGACAAAGAGGAGACACTTTTGTTTATTGTCTCTATTAGGGATAATAATATATTACTACGTACTACCCTATAACAAAAAAAAAAAAAAAAAGGAGACACATACACTGGTACCCTACACTCTCTGCAGCAGCAGCAGCAGCAGCAGCAACAACAGCAGCAGCAGCAACAGCAGCAGCAGCAGCAGCAGCAGGCTTACGGGAGAGCAAATTGTAAGGTAGGGAGGGCCCCCATGAGCATAGTTAGGGTACTAGGGTTCAGCTGTATACGGAGGGCCCCCCAGTATACATCTAGTACCTCTATGAATAGGCCTGCTGCTGCTGCTGTTGTTCTTGCTGCTGCTGCTGCTGCTGCTGCTGCAGCTGCAGCTGCTTCTGGTGGACTTCCTCCCCGTGCTGCTTGTGCTTCTGCTTCTGCTGCTGCTGCTGCTGCTGTTGCTGCTGCTTGCTGTGTAGCAGCAGCAAGACCCCTAGATAATATAGATAAATAGTGTCCCTTTATTTCTTTTTTTGTGTGTATATACACCCCAAGGGCCTTAACACCACTGCAGCATAAAGTCCAATATAATTCTGCTGCTGCTGCTGATCGTGCTGCTGCTGCTGCTGCTGCTGATGCTGATGCGTCTCCTGCTGCTGTTGCTGCTGCTGTTGCTGCTTCGGTTCTCAGCCCTAATGGAACCCTTATAAAGGTTGCAGCTGTTGGGCTCCCCATATATGGAGAGTTTGCTGCTGCTGCTGCTGCTGCTGCTGCTGCTGCTGCTGCTGCTGCTGCTTGTTCTGCTGCTGCTGCAGCTGGGAATGTAGAGGGGAGTAGCTGTTTTGCTGCTGCATTAACAGCAGCAGCAACAACAGGAAGAGGAAGTCTCTGGTGTCTCCGCAGCAGCCGCTCCTCTACTGCAGCAGCAAGAAGGTAGGGGGGCCCCCCAGGACCCGCGGGGCCCCCAGGGACCCACAACTGCAGCAAGGCGAGTGCATGCAGGAGGTCACTATGGGTGTACGTACACCGCAGCCCCAGCAGCAGCACGCATGCATGCAGCAGCATATCATCGGCTTGTTTTGCTAATAAGAAGCAGCGCAGCAAATTAATTATATATATTGTTGGTGGAAAACCCTTGGGGGCCCCAAAGGAAAAGGAGGAGGGGGGCCCCCCCATGAGGGGCCCCTCAGGGTCTTGCTGCCCCTCCTCCTCCTTGCAAGATGCTACTGCAGTTGCTGCTCCTTCTGTTGCTGCATCTGCTGCTGCTGTACCTGTTGCTGCTGCACCTGCCGCTGCTGTACCTGTTGCTGCTGCACCTGCTGCTGCTGTGCCTGCTGCTTCTTGTTGTATACTCCTTTGTATTGCTGCTATTGCTGCTGCTGCTGCTGCTTCTTTGACTGCTGCTACTGCTGCTGCTGCTGCATTTCCTCCTGCTGCTGCTGCTGCTGCTGCTGCATTCCCTGCTGCTGCTGTTGGTGTTGCAGTTAATCTTGTATATTTAATAATATTAATTAGATGTTTTTTTGCTATTTTCTTTGCATCTATCCATAAATAATTATCTATACATTTAATTATATTTATTATTATTAATAAAATATTAATAAAAGAAATAAAAGAAATATTATTTATATCTATTTGTATATTATGACGTATTTTCTCTTTACCTCCTCCAGGTGTACGTACACCTATAAATGCTTCATCTACTAATGCATGCAGCAGGACAGGGGGCCCCCAAGGGGGCCCCCCTGTCCTGCTGCATGCGGGGGGCCCCCGAGGGGCCCCCAGGGTACTTGCTGCATCACACGCTGCTGCAGCACGCTGCAGAGATCTTGCTGTTGCTGCTGCTTCTGCTGTTGTTGTTGCCACTGCTCCTGCTGCTGCTGCTGCTGCTGTTGCTGCTGCTTTGGGTACATCTGCTGCTGCTGCTGCTGCTGCTCCATCATAAGTAAATGTTAGCAGCAAAGTGCTGCAGGAGGGTTTATATGTTGCTGCAAGTGTACACCCTGGGGTGTATGCGCTGCCTAGATACCTCTTTACAGGGGGCCCCCCATCAACAGGGTCTGGGGGCCCCTCCTCCTCTGTTAGGGGGCCCCCATCCTCTTTCTTATCTATGGGGGCCCCACATACATTATTATTTATATCTTTATTTATTTTTTTCTCCTTTTTCCCTCTCTTCTTTATTTGCTGCTTGCTGCTGTCATGGCTATAATATGCCCTTAAACAATAAAGGGGGCCCCCTGTACCCTTTTTGGGGTGTATAGGCACCTCATTGACTTTATTATATATATAAGGTAAGAAAGGGGGGCCCCCTAACAGGCGCATAGGAGGGGGCCCCCCCACCACCCCGTTACTAGGACTTCTGTGGGGCCCCACAGCAAAGAAAAAGGCACGACAATGTCTACAAAGAAGAGGCATTTAATAAAAAAAAAGAAAAAAAAAAGAAATAATTAGTTTATTCATGCTGCCTATACACCTGAGCTGCCTATACACCCGAATGACGCAACAACAGACAATTATAAAGGAATCTTCTTTGTATTAATTAAATATAAATAAATAAATGAATAAATATATTTTATTCTTTTTTTAATGTATAATAATTTAATTAGACCCTACACCTGGTGCCCTCTGAGGGGCCCTCTTCGGGGGGCCTCCCCAGGGGGGCCCCCCTCTTGTTGGGGGGCCCCCCTATGGGGGCCCCACTCTCTATTTGCAAAAGTAATTATAATATTTAATATTGTTTATATATAAAATAAAAAATAAAAAGAATGTTTATTGTATGCATGCAAATAATGTTTATTGCGTATATGTTTTCCTATTGTACCCTACAGGAGGGGGGCCCCCAAAGGGGGCCCCCAAGGGGGGCCCCCAAGTCTTTGTGTAGGTCTTTTTATAATAGAGGGGCCCCCCACTGGCTGGAGAATAAGAGGAAAAGAAACAATGTATATAATATATATTATATATACTATACATAATTATATATA